AGCTACTCGTATAAAGTGGAATGTATTTGAGTGAGTGCTTGGTTAAAGGCTTTTTAGATTTATGTGACAAATAAAATTAAAGTGCGACAATATGGTGTTGCCCGAAAAGGAGTCACATATAGTACATACATACACGCATGTATATTACACATATGTTTATCGTATATACAGATAATTACATATACATATTTCGCTAATCTAGTTCTGTAGTAGGAGTATTTAATAATGTTGTGGACATTTAAGCAGCTTCTTACACATATATTAGTTTCAACAGTTTTGGGAAGATAGAAAACAATTAAAGAGATTCAAAGTCATTCTATATAGTATATGTACTTGTTATAGGTATATACATACATACATATGTACTCACATATATGAATGCTCTGTAACAAGCGGCTGGAATTGACTGCTTTTTTGTTAGTTTTCAACTCCTCTATTATTTACATTCTTCACTTATGCTGACGACGAGAGCTTTTGCTAACATAACTTTTTAACAGCGACTTATCAATGTTAGATTAACATAATAAAGATTACATTCAACGTTTACCAATTAATCGTTTGTTTTTATTCAAATGCAATTCAATACAATAATACTGTAACTTAATTATAATTCAATTCAACTATTTGAGATATATAACTCCTGATTCAACAGATAGTAATTGCGCAGATCATCCAAAATTAATGCTGTTTTTGACAAACCAACGGCTTAGCCCACGCAATGATTATGTGGACATTATGATAACAGCAAGAGAGCAATTTAAGAGAGACTATACTGTTAACGAGATCGAACTGTTATTAGCATACATCTGTAACAATTCAACTAATTTGTACGCAACTCAGTTTACTCAATTTATCTTAAGATATATTGTTATTACTTAATGGAATGCCTTTAGACGTATGTAATATTTCGAATTGTGGATACATAAACATATATAGCATAGAGGATAATTAGAAAATGCTATTTGTCACCTCAATATAAGTACACTGGTCGGCACAATTATTTTGACGAGAAGAAAATCATACATTTTTGTCAATAACTGGTTATTGGTTTAAGATATCAAAGGAAACTTTTTTTCTCAATTCCATATTGGTATTACAAACTTAAAAATAATTCAAAGGATATATTTTTATAAGAACTTTTAAAATTATAAATCAAGGTAATTTTCATGGGTTGGCATAAGTATTTTGACAATGGATATTAACAAAAAAAACAAAGCTTAATACTAAACAAAACATAAGAAATTGATGGTAGATTAATAAAATGTATACCCGCCTTTGGCTTCGATAACTTTTTGAAGACGTCTTGGAACTGAGTCCACTAAATTTTGAAGGACCTCTAATGGTATCTCTTTCCAAAGAGAAGTGACCTCGGAAATAGTTTCTTCTTCGGTTTTATGCAAAGACGCATTTCTTTTACGTTTTACAAGAGACCACACATTCTCAATAACGTTTAAGTCCGGACTTTGTGGTGGCCAATCCAGAGTAGTAACACCAACATCGCTTAAAAATGCTCTTATCATTTTGCTTTTGTGGCATGGGGCGTTATCCTGTTGCAGGATAAATGATTCTCCAATCAGCCTGTCACCGGAAGGGAATGCGTTTTCGTTAAGGGTACTCAAATATTGTTGCTGGTTCATTGAGCCGGTGATGGGAACGAAATCACCTAACCCATTGTACGCAATGCATCCCCAGAACATGACTGAGCCTCCGCCATGGCTCACTTTTTGACATACGGGGATATTTTTTTGTCTTTGAAACTGTGGGAGCCTTACAAAAATCTTTGTTTTTGATGAATTATATTCAAAGGAGCTTTCATCTGTCCATAGAACGCTTCTCCAAAACTCTTTTGGCTTATGCAGATGCTCCTTTGCAAAAGCCAATCTTTTGAGCTTGTTCACCTTTGATATGTAAGGTATGTCCTTCGCTTTGTATGTCTTAAAATCTTCTTCTTTTAGGCGTCGCCGAACAGTACGCTCACTGATTGGAGTCTTGGTCGACTTATTCCATTGATCTGCAGCAGCTTGCGGCTTTAAATGAATATTTTTTTTAAATTCCCGCAATAGGACTCGATCTTCAATGGGTGTTGTTTTGCGGTTAGCACCTGATCTAGGCAAGTTTTTGACGTCATTGTGGGTCTTATATTTGTTAATTTGATAGTGGACTGTTTGCCGCGACAAATTATATTCATTTGCAATGTCTTTTGGTGCTACGCCGGCATTAAACTTCGCCACTATTGAGGCTCTAACAACATAACTTAATTCTGTCTTTTTTACCATTGTATCGATTACTTTTGAATCAAATTTTAATGAAAATAATGTAAAAAGGTCAACAAAAATTGTTACACCAAAGTTATTTTAGTATCACTTGATAAAACGTACGCGAAAACGGCGACAAGGTTTGGTCAAAATACTTATGCCGTGCCTGAATCCGCAGTCAACTCACATTGTCATTTGTAGAAAAAAGGTGTGAAGAGTAATAGACAAAATATTTTGCCTACATATTGTTGTTGCTATGAACTCAATATCCCGTATGAAAATTGTACCGTTATTCCTTGAAACTAAAAGCAACCAGCACCGATAGTCGTGAGTACAGTTCGTCAAAATAATTGTGCCGACCAGTGTATGTACGTATAGCTCTGGATGGATTCTTAAGTTAATCAATTTAACTGTTTAATTGGATTAATTTTTCAAATAACATGGGCTTGCTGAGAGGTATTTTGGTTGGGAATAGATCCTATACGAAGTATTCATTTATATTCACAAAAAATGCAATAATTTGTTCCCCTTATTCTATTCTGGAGTCCGTTTAGCTTAGGCTAAGCCACCATCAACAAAAACCTAGTTTCATATTAAAATTACAATATTTTTCGGAGCAAGGCAAAACTTAGTTTATAAATTACAAATAACCAACTGATGGCTTTACTCCATTCGCAAGGACAAGAGCTCCTGACCAGGCCAGGCAGTGTGGCCCCAACTCGGCCAAATTCGTCTGTCACGTGGAAAAAAGAAAAACGAAAATGAAAGGAAAACTTCTACAGAGGAATGCCCAACGATGGATGCCACAACAAAAACGAATTCTAAAGAAAATTAATTTTTAGAAAATCATCAAAAATTAATTTTATTTATGTGGAGGCACTCACACACTGCCGACTGAAAATGTGATGACCATCTGGGAGGGAGAGGAAGAGAGATGGAGTGCAAAAAATGTGTACATATGCCCGTCTTTATTTCAGCCAAAGCAGTCCAAGCACACACACACACGCACACACACACACACACACACGTTATAACTTTTGTGCATGTGTGTGTTTTTTGGTTTTGGCATGGAATATTTATAATGCATACAAGCACTTGGGGACGCAACGGAGTGGGGCGGGGGTAGAGCACATGTGTGTGTGGGTCGGAGCTATACTTGACTTGGTTTTTTGTGTAGGAAATATGCCCGAAAGCGCTAAGCAATGAGCCAGCAAGCGGCCAAGTGCGCTCGTAGGCGTTAGCCAAATTCCACACGCCAACACACACTCACCAGCACACTCACCCATAGATACCGCGCACCAACCTACATACGCTCAAATAAACTTTGAATAAGCATTTCGTATGCACATAAAATGGCAGCTATGTGTATAACCGAACTCGTGTGTGTGTGTGGGTGTGGGTGTGTGAGTGTGCGTTGGTCTGTCGGCCGTGTTTTTGTATTTTACTGGCACAAATCTCAACATAAATCTTAAGTGCGCCAGCAACTACCCCCCCCCAACAATACTCCTCACTGTACGCTCCCCCTCCCAGCCATCTCCTAGCACAACTCTCCCCACACTCTGGAACTGCCCAGGCTTTGAACAGCTTTGAGCTGCGGCATTCCCACGTCCTACCAACACCTCCATCCTCTGTTCCCCACTGGCCTTTCATTATGGGAGCAGGCTCGAAAGTAAGGCAAATAAGTGCTGCATAAAATAATAAAGCAATGGGCAACGAACAATTTACTAAGGTTTATGGTGTGCCGAAGAGGGGGGAGTTCAGCTGAAGCTGGGGGTACGGGGTGCGAATTGTGGACTCTGCGGAGCTTTATGCCTTGCAATGAAATGGCAAAAAATGTTAGGCACCCATGTCGAGAGCTGCTAAATGGCCAGGCTAGTAGTGCAAAGCTAGAAAATATTCAATTTCCTTTGCTCATTAAAATTAAATAACTACGCTTAGAGAGAGCGCGCGCACACACACACACACACAATCACACACACAATCACACACACATACTCACACAATCACACACTGCAGCACGGTCTGACGTGCACAGTCCACAGGCAGTCGGAGACAAAGCCAAGCTGAGTTCTATTGGCCGCACGTGCTGGTTAGTTCCTGTTGTTGTTTTTATTGCTGGTATTGTTGTTTTTGCTCCATGCCGCCAGCGAAAAGAAGCGGAAACACAAATGTATGTAATTACGGTTAAAGGCTTTTTGATGTCCTTGTTGATGCCCAGCTCAACTTGCCAGCCTGGTTTAATTATTCAAGTGTGTGTGTGTGTGTGTGTGTTTGCGTAGGTGTGAGTGTGCGTAATGTGAGAAAGTGGAGAAAGTGGAGAAAGGGGAGAGCGCAGTGGGCTAGCAAGACGACTCATTTCAATTACGCGCTCTGAAGTTCTGTGGCCACTTCCGTGGCATTGTTTGGAAATAAATTTACGAACCTTTTTGTTGAATTCTATGGGGTTGCGTCTATATTAATATTACTTGCCGCAATTTCCCCATTTTATTCTTAAAAAAAAAATAAGTCGTTAGCTTGTTAACGTATTTATTTATTCAATTATAGGAAACTGTTAAATCAAAAGTAATCTAACAATTGTTTACTAAAGCCGTGAACATATTTAAATCTATAAACTACAACTACATAACAATTTGATTTCACATCATTGTTGATATATTACCTATATACATAAGTAGTAGATAGCCGATCTTACTGTTGATAATACCTTCCCTAACCTTTTTATTGCTTCATTTAATTCTCCTCCAGTGACTCCCAATCATGGTCCCAAAATAACTGGAGGCCAGCCACGTTACCAAATTGGCGACACCGTGCGCGTGAACTGCACGTCGGCACCGTCCAAGCCAGTCTGTCATCTGAGCTGGCTCATCAATGGCGAGCCAGCCTCCCGTTCTTATTTGAAGCAGTATGACAAGATTGTGGTGAACCGTGATGGACTAGAAATGGCACGTCTGGGTCTTGAGTTTCGTGTGCGTGGCTCACATTTTAAGCACGGCGATATGAAATTAAAGGTTAGTTCTCACTAGTTTAGTTTAGTCAGCTGAGTAAATATTTATTTCTTGTTTTCTCTTTAAGTGTGTGGCAAAGATCAGTTCACTGTACTGGCAAAGCAATGAGGAGAGCGTTGAGAGCGACCGTCAACAGCGAGCCCCCGCTTTGGAATCCCGAGAAACGGTGGCTGCCAAATCTAGCACAATTGGTAACTGAGTGGGGGAGGGGAGGATTCTGCCTTCAAACTTCACAAATTCTGTCTCTCTCTTCCTCTCTCTCTCTTGCAGGGGCTGCCGCATCACGCGTTCCTTCGCACCTACTTCTCTTTCTACTGCCACTGTTGCTGCTCTACAATTGTGCCCAATCCGGAGCTGGTAGTTAACTGGCTTTAGTTGTTGTCTAAGCTGTAGGCCTCTAGTGAAAATTATCAAAAGATAACGACAAAACTGTGTACTGAAACTTTAAAAAAGATGCATACATAACAACTAGCACAATGTTGGGCTGGACACTCGGAGTCGCGATCGATTTCAAGGTCACATCTCAAAGTTGAAGTGTAAAAGCAAACATATCCTATGCCAAATTTCATAGAAAAATATACACTTAACAAAATTCGGTAAAACTTAACAAAACTTTATTGATATGAAAGCAAAAACGGCAAGATTTAAAAAATAAACAAAAAAATACTCATATAAAATCTATTAAATGAGGCAGCAACTACTCAACTCGAGCATTTAAGTAGTTCTTAAGCGTTGTAAATAACGAGAATAGGTCCTAAGCCACTTGAAATTTTTCAGAAAAAAATGACAGAGTCAAACAAAAATAAAAAATAATACAAATGAATTTTTTGCCAACACAAATATATTTTTTTAATTGTCTGTAATCATCGCTTTAGTTGATATAAAATATTTGTGCATCCAATAAATACAGCTGAGCAAAAGCAAAACTGTCCAGGAGGATTTATTGTATGGAATAATTTTAGATCAAGCTAGTCAAGTCCTTTTTACATATGTATGTATTTTACATTGTACTCATTGAATGGCGTTTTCGAGAAATCATTTGTTAAAATTGCGCATATCACTTTCGAACATTTCAATTGTAAACTAAAAGCACCTACCCTTTAATCGATTACAAATAAAATGATGTCTTGTATAAATTTAACTTACTATATACTCGTAGAAGTAAACATGAGTGCATAGAATAGGATTAAAAGTAAGTGGTAAGAAGGTGCAAAGCAAAGTAAACTAAATCATTTAAACCAATTAAGCAAATCAGCTGTCAAAACTAAGTGAAATTCAAACTGCAAGAGTGGGAAAATCGTATTCAATAAAAATGTAAATAGCCTATCATACATACATCAGTGGTAAATAAAGAAAAAAAGAGAAGAAAATTGTTAATGATGAAGAAAAGCTGATATCAATGCTGGAGTCGAAAATAAGAAATCTTATAAAATAAAAACTGTAATGGTTATCTGCAAAACTTGCCATTGTCTGACAAATTTCCATTTCCTTATATTATCGTACAACTGTGCAGTCTTCGCCTAACTAATGAGCTATAAGTTGTCTCTTAATACATATGGTTATTCTGGAGAGTAACGAACTGAGTTCAAAGTCTATTTCAAATGAAACAAATTTACTGAGTGCTTTGGGTTCTGAGCAAACCTCAATACTTTTCTTAAAATGATTTACGTTTGATGCAGCTTTATACTGACATATTTTAAAATCTGCTTAAAATCTGATAACAACAATTGTTGTCTCAAGAATATGGCAGTATAAGTGGAAAGTGAAAACAGAAGTGACTTGTAAAGTACTTTTATTGTTTTAAATATGAAGTTAGTAAATAGTGCATTTCCATAACAATTATTAAATTGAATTAAAAGGAAATTCCTCTTTTACTTAAGAGAGCTCCCATTGTACACTCGACTCTTGAAGAGGAGTTAGACAGAGACAGCTTTCTTTCAATATTTTCCGGCTCCAAAATCTAAATTAAAATGTCCATTCCTCTTCAAAGTGTTGCAGAACGTATCAGAACAAACATGAAAAGATTTAACGCGAAATGTTTAAGCAATAAATAATGAATACAACTAAAAAAAATTCGTTCGTAATTTAATGAGTTAGGTAAACACGAAATTCTCCATGTTGATATATGTATGAATGTATTAGCCCTTAGTTTTCCCTCTGAGTGAAACGTATTGAATACATTTCGAGCATAACCCTCAAGGAGATATCAATCGTTTGGCCATATGCTTATTTTGTAAGCTTGACTCAGAAGGGCCAAAGCTTTACAACCCTCTCTCACACACACAGACAGGAGTACATATAAATGCATTGAGCGCAACCCTGCTCCCGGCCCAAGCGATTTGTAAACGAAAGAGGCAACAAAGACGGGAGTTGGCTGACACGAACGAATACGTTTCCAGAATTGGGCAACAAAGCGACAAATTCAAGAATTTAAACAAAGACAAAAATGAGTCATAGGGCCGATAGTTGCGTTTTTGCATGAAAGCCATACAGTTAAAGGGTCTCTGCTGCCAGACACATGCATGTCCCACAAATGCATTTTGTGGTCTTTAAGCTGCTATTGTTATTATTGCAATACAAACAAGTTTCCAAAGCAGGCTATTTGAGGCAGCTAGCTCATTTGCATACAAAGGCGTTTGCATATGACCAACAAACAATTGTAAGGCAGCTGCATGCAAAATAAATGGCATTTGAGGCAAGCGCCACTTATCTTGCATCTGTACTCCTTCCCCTCTATACCCCTTGATAGCCGTCCAGTTCTGTCTTTGGAAAAGAGACAAACAAGTTTTGCAGTTTTCCTATTTAAAAACTCAAACAAACTAGCCAAAAAAAGTGTAAATAGTTAAATGAATTATATAGATTGCTGCCGCGTCTCATTAGCGTATAAGAATTAAAGCTAAACAAAAATAAAATGGAAAACAAACTCTTCTAAAACAATTCTCCATTAAATATAAGTGGAAAATTGTGCGTGTTGTAAAGAATAAGAAAGGACATTAAAATGAAAGCATGTCCTCATTCAATGTTATCTGTCAATCGATGATCAAATTAAAAGAAAACACTATATACTTATTAATGATCAAGTGAATTCCTCAAAAGCTCGAAAAAATACAGCTCGAGGAATGTGCATTAAGTACATAACTTGATTATTGGCTGAATGTATATAGCCCAACATAATTTTTTCGGCTCATACTTTCAACTTTGAAGATTTGTTTTTCTACAAAAGAACGAGAGTAAAATGTTAAAAACTACATTGTGGAGCGAGAGAAATAAATGAAAATGAACCATTTCTTTTCAATTTAGCAAAATGTCGAATTTATTTTAGTTCCGGTCAGGTCTGCGGAAGTAAAACCATACAATAGATTAAGGGGAGACTACATAATCTTTATAATGTGGGTCGTTTTCTAAAGCCAGAAGTTCATCCATACGGACATACGGACCCATCTAAAGCAAGTTGCCTTGTCATGCACACTAATAATATATAACATTTATGGACTCTGAGATGAGTTATGTAGTAATTTGTAGAAATTCTGATCAATAATAGCTTTAATTATTTGATGGGGTCATTAAGATGTCGTTAAAAGCGCAATAATAATAATCTGCGAGTCTGATAAAGGGCGTTAATAAATTCTTACAAATTAAAAGTTGTGGTGTCCACACCTGTATTGTACGCAGCTTGATTATGTTGTAGTTCCTGTATGAATTTCTTGGCTTTTTGTTTTAGATTGCTAGAAGAATCAAAATACATTGAAAAAAGACGGTTTTTAATCCATGTACCCGAAGGATAAAAAATGCATATTAGGTTTGTGCATTTCATACTATGCAGACAGATGGAAACATTTCCGACCTCAGATAGTTCGAGTATATATAGTATGTATCGATGTAGGCAGGTTTGTCTGTTTGGATGCACATCCGATTTAGGAAACTACTGAGCCCATATTGACCGATCTCGTTGTGTAGGCTCTCTTTCTCTACATACCTCGATTTAATTTAATTTTTTATTTTACCTTCCTTCCCTCGCTCTTTTATTTTTTCACTACTATTCACAATTTCGAAGGTACAGAAACTATTCGTTGCATTCACAATTAGTATCTGGCTCTACATCTATTTTAAATGTAATCCAAATCGGTTGATTGCAATTGGTTAACGCTAATAACACCCCGGGGAAGCTCGTTTTGGGAACAGGGTGTTCAACTCCCAAGCTTGCTCGATCATCAAACCAATCATCAAACAAAATCTGAATATTTGTTGTTCTCCAAGCCAAGTGAAGCCCACTCCTCAAATTTCAATAGTTTTTATTTGATTTTTATTTTATATTGTGATGCCTACCAAAAACAATATACATACATTTTCCAGTGAAGTGTGGTTAATTAATAATGTACCTAGAAGTAGTACTAAGTCCATAATCAATGTCCGATTTGATTAAAGTCGAATTAATCTCCCCATTTTCGACATCAACGTTTTAGCCATGCGGCATTTCAACAACGTCGTTTTTCGACGCCTCGCTAATGCTATTCAGAACTGGCCGTTGCTTGGGGCAGTCACACCTATGCTTCGCTCAACTTTTGATCTGCAATAAATCAAAATGGAGCCGCAATTAAGGCGCATGCCAGTCGGCTGCATTGTCAGGGGCAAGAGTTTTGCATGAGTCAGAGGGGTGTGGGAGGCATGTCGTGGACGACCGAAGCTCGCATTGCATTTCCGTTAGTTATTCATAGTCAATGAGCACGTGTGAGTGTGTGCGCCTGTGTGTGTATAAAAGCGAATTGAAAAAACCACCGCCAGTGGACTGTGGTGCTGTTGTTGTTGTTGCCACCGCCACCACCACCGCCAATGTGTTCATGTTGCAATTTTCCGCGGTTGCCGCTCGATTGCCGAGCAATGTCTGTTTGGCCATCAGCCCACCGCCCCTTTCAGTCTATTTGCCAGATTGTGGGCCGCGGCATAAAATTAGTTTTGCCACTCAGGCCGAAAATTGTGCTTGAAATTGCACAAAATTGAACAATACATTTGTCCCATAGTGGTGCAAAAAGGTGAGAAAAATAAAGCAGACTGCCGCAAACATACCGAGTGTGTGCGAATACATTTTTATTAAATAAATTATGAATGTGTGTGTAAGCTTTACTCGACACACACATACACACACACCCGACCGGCTTTCCGGCATTATTATTATTACGCGTTATCTATTCGATTGTAATTTAGTTTATCAATTTAAATATATTAATGACAATAAAGCGGAGCGGAGCCAGCAAAAAGTTGGTGGCTGACTCGTTAAAAATGTATGCTCGTATGTAAATATGAATGTACAGCCAAAATAACTGAGCAAGGCGTGCACGGGCGTGCAAGTTTTTATCAAATTTACGCTCATTGCATTTTAATTAATTATAAACAGGTAATTATGGTAAACAGACTGAGGCACACCTGCACGAGCTGCAAACAAACACGCCTGTGCATGCACACAGCACCACAAGCCCATAAAAGTACGGTGCAATTATCACATCCATGGGGCAGACAGGAGGTGGAACGGCATTTTATAATGTTACCACAAGCTTATTTGAGTGCACACGGCATTTGCTGCCCCAGACCTCAACTTTAAAGTGTTCAATTAAAGCTCGACCTTTCACTTTTATTACCGCTTTTATTGGCACATCGACAATCGCCGATTTCCGCATTCATGTAATAATTAGCAGACGTTTTTACCGACAAACGCAAAACGCGGCGGAACTGCGACTGCGAAAATAAACTGTTTGAATTAATTCAACCACACTTGTATAGATAACCCACAATGTACACCATACTTGAACTTTGCGCCATTCGTGACGTGAGAAAGAAGAAACTAACTTATACTTCATA